ACTTTTCTAAATATAAAATATAGGGAAAATTGCAGCAGCAGTTGTTAACCTTTCATGTTTTTTTGTAGACTTTACTCTAACCTTCATTTTATACCACCCATAGTTTCAAACATTTCAAAAATATACACCTGAGGTCCAAATGAATGAAAACCGTCCATTTGGCTTGAAATATGTAAAAATTGGATATTTTGACGATTTTAAGTAGGGGCATTTTCATCAATCTTATAATTTCATTTTTTTTTTCAATAAAAATACATTTATAAAATAAGAAATAACTAAATAAAAAATAATAATAAAAATCAAACTTATCTTCTCTACCCCAAAATCAAACCAAAACCAACCACCGTCACCACCACCACCACTGCCAAACCCACACCCACATTTGGACGTACTTTGAATCACTTAAACACTGACCAATCGCTGGCTAAATCACCGGATATTCACATCATCAGAAAGCCTTCACTTCCTTCTTTACAACCCACCCAACCACCAGCCACAACTCCAACGGATTCGACCGAAAATTAGACCCAAAATAGGCTGCCACACACCAAAAAATGGATAGAATCCTCACTTCTGACGACACCCATGCCAAACCCACCTTCCAAATCCACCAAGCACCTCAACACGCACCTATTGATAACCTTGTAACATCTAACAAAGCTATAAATTGGAAACAAAATGGCAACAGTCCGAAGGCGGCGAACCACTGACCTTTTGTCCCAAGCTTTGGTGCCAGCATTACAAACGACGGTCGCACATAACCACCATTTGGCTTCTACTCATCATCGCGAACAAGATCCACATATGGGTCTTCATCAATTTTCCTCGATTCATCCAATTAGAGGATCAGCAGTTCATATCTCAAGCGAGCCTTTTTTTCTTGGAAAAAATTGCAGCAATAGTGGAGACAAACTGTTGGCGCAAAGAGTTGAGGTTGTGGTGGGGTGGCTGGTTGTGGCGCTGCCTTGGTGTTTTCCGACGAAGAGATGGAGATGGCTGTGAGGATGCGTTTGGGGTTGGTACTTTTTACTTTTCTTTTGTTTTATTTTAATTATTTTAATTGTTAATAATTAGAAAAATACAAAGTACCATTATACCCTTTCTAATTTGTTCCAAAATGGTCAATTTTGACTTTTCTAGTCAATTAACGATCAAATGGACGGTTTCCTTCATTTGGACCCACATATTTTTGAAAGGTTTGAGACTGTGGTTGGCACAAAATGAAAGTTAGAATAAAGTCTGCAAAAACGTGAAATGTTACGGACTAGTATTGCAATTTTCCCTAAAATATATGTATTACGATTATGACACAAGTTTACTTGTTGCATAATAGTTATGGATGTAATATTTCACTTCAAATGCACAAGTTTGAATCGCTGCTTTTGCATATTGAAAATTATTTTTGCTCAACTTTGTTATAGAACAGTTCACCATTGAACCGGTGCCGATTTCTTCTAAACTAGTCCGGTTCGACCCTGTATTGAGCGGTTGATTTTTGATTGGTTCACTTGCTAAATATACCAATTAGGTCAATCGGATCGGACCACTATTTGGTTTGCCGATTCTCAAGCTGAACTGATCCAATTTTAGTAAGTATGGTGCCAACTGCTCTATTTGATTTATTATCTATTTGTTGTGGGTTAAAATTTTGTTAAAAACATAAGTCAAAATCAACAATTGATTTTAATCAAACATTTTATGGGATTTACAATTTTTATCAATTTTTATCAAAATATACTAAAATTTGATTTTCAACTACACGTGGACTTAGTATGTAATGGTTTGAAGCTTTGCGAGGATCCTAGATAGCGGTACCAGAATGGCAGAATGTATGAGACAATCTTTGAAGCAGCATGCAAAAAGAGTTAACTGCTATATAGGAACGAATATTATTGGAAACAACGCCCGTTTGCAAAGTGGTTGAAAGAGGGAGAAAGTGTTGGTTTAGTTAAAAAATATAATAAAAAATTGATAAAAATCTTAAGTGAAAATAAATAATTAATATTAACTATACATTTTATGAGATTCATAATTTTCATCAACTTTCAATTATACATTACATCAACTTTTTACCAAAATTTACTAAAAATCTAACTTTTAGCAAAATTCGACGAGGGCTGAACATTTTTCATGACAAAGCCTCCAGTAAACGCAAGATAAATACAAGAAATCATTGACCTTTCCAATGCTCAGGTGCATGACTTGCACCTTGGCTTACCGACTATGGTAATAAACGCCACAATCCACATGGATAAAGGAAAAATCTATAAGAGAATCCGAGGGTGGCATCCCAACTAATCTAATGAGAAATTTTTGGGTTCTTGAAACTCTTTATCATAACATTTGTTCATTGATGTTCATATTTTATTGGAGGACGAAGAATTGAGAAAGAAAGATTTCTTGGCTAAGTTGGGATCATATTTGTGCTCGGGGTTGGTTTGAGTTTTCGAGATTTTGGTATGTTTAACCGGACATTAGTATGCAGTCAAGCTTGGAGATTGTCAAAAACTCCCAGTCTCCAGCTGCTCAAATAATGAAGAAGTATCATATGGGAAACTAATTTTATGGACGCATAGGGGTGGATACCTAAATTAACGAAAAATACTAGGTTATGTTTGCTCGAGAATGGCTTTTCTTACCTTTCTTGCTCCAAAACTTTTGTTTTTAACCCTTGTGCTATTTTAACATGGAGTGTGATTATCGTCCTGTATCTTAACAAGTTCACCAAAAAAAATTAAAAATTTCTTTCAATTTCAATTGGGAATCCTAGCTAGGTCCGTGAACCCCATGTGGTTTCTCACTATTCACTCATCAAATATGCAATTAGGTAAGATTATTCAATTTTCTAGTTCAAAGGTCAAAACAATATTACTCTAAAGTGAATAGGGATCAGATTTCTCTACTTTTGAAAGAATTGGGTAGGGGCCAAATGAATGGAGGTTGGATCATTAACTCATCCATCCCTATCTAGGGTGCTAAATGGACGTAGAAGAATGAACATTAACTCATTAATCCATCCACCCTCACCCTAGAGGCGTCATTGGCCCACCACGCGAGTCAGCTCACTCTAGCTTGTGGGACGAGCTGATCTTGATCTGGCTTGCTTCACTGAAGTGTGGCTCGCAGTTTGCCAATTTTTTATTTTTTTCATTGAAATTGCATTTTCATTCTACTATGATGGGTCGGTTCGAGAGCCGATGAGCGGCTCATACGAAAAATTCATTATTCAGCTCACATCTTCAGCTCACTGTGGGTGCGAGCCGACGAACAATTTGCTCTACTTAACACTCCAAACTTTTTCTATCTTGTCTTTATCTTACCTTACCCTATTATACAATACCCACTCTCATAGGATCCTAATTTTTTAGTTGATATGCCAACTATAAATCTTGACAAATTGTACAAGCTGTTCAGATTGTACCGTCTAACTTACCAATACAAGTCATAAGTTAATATTATAAATTATAGGTAGAGGGAAATGGTACCTATGTCATGATCATACAAGCTAAATGGTCAAACCTCAATTTTACGTGACATTCATTGATTATTGAATATGTTAATGATCGTATACTTACTCATACTGTCATTGGTTGATCAATGCCCTTAAAAAAATTGATTATCTAGATATTCTAATTTTCATTAACTATTGTCCCCTCAACCCCCAAAAAAAGAGGAATTCTCTAGCTTGAACCAACTAAATAAGTTGCTTGAGTTTTCCTTAAAAACGGACAAAATTTTACTACTGTTACCTAAATTTGTTGTAGCGTATTTCAAACATTAAGCTTCAAAGAAGTAGATGAGATATGTTGGTCGAGCGTAACATGCATAATATAATAGGTTCAAAACTAAGCATCTCTCTCCCAATTTATTTAAAAATTATTTTTCTTCAAACTTATTTTTAATCACACATTCTTTCAATAAAATAATTTGTACGTAAACTCATAAATTTTTATTACTTTGTAAGTACATATTTTCCAAAAAAAAAAAAAAAAATATTTGTCGCCTTAAATAATAACTAAGTCCTAAGATTATAAGCTAAATATTTGAGTTTCAATTGTATAGTTGCTCCAAAATTGTTTTTATTGTATTAGTAGGAAGTAATACCCTTTTTCTTTTTCTTTTTTTGCTTTTTTTTTGTTTTCATGATGTTGATTATGGCTTCTTCCAGTTTATTCTTACGGGAAATAAGGTAGCCTATATAGTAGCATATGCATTCATCTGAACAAATTATATTCCTTTTTTATATTATTAATTAGTCTGTATTCGTTTAGTATAGTAGAGACGTTTGGTGTAGCAAGTATCTATCATTAATAGTTGAGTTCGTAGTATCCTCAATGACAACTATCCTGAGCTAACTTCTAAGTGCATATTTAATATACAAAATCGATCAATTAACATGTTCTTAGTGAGAACAATTTTATTAGATCGATCATACCTGTTGAAGGCAGTAATATACCAAGAAGTGGACTACCATTCTTCTACTATTTAAATAAAGGGCAAGAGCCTTATTAGCTCTAAATAGTAGATGATTCTTAGTTAAAAAGAATTAAAGAAAAAGTAAGTTTAACTATTATTTATTTTACCGTCAAATAAAGCTTATCATTCATGTTTCAAAGTTTCTATCATGGTTGACATTTGTTTAAATGTAAAAAAATGATTGGAAGGAAAACTATTTTTGTTTTAAAACTGACAATTTTTTATCACATGGTAAATTATCAAATTTGGTGTACTGTGTACACCAAGCATGATTGAAAAAATAATTATCAATTGAAAATCACATAATGTATTATTTTATTTATTTATTTATTTATTTATTTATTGTGTTTTAGTTGAAAGATCATGAAGTTACTTCCTGCCTAAATTAAGCGTATGAGAAATTAGTTGAAGAGATATCGTGAGAAAATGCAAGGGTAACAACATAAAAAATGGTCCCATATGGCAAATCACGTGCATAGGCTGCATCAAAGTGCGTAGAGATCAGAATACAAAATCTACTAATGGCAAACATACAAATAAGGATGTCTCAAAAATGAAAGAGAAAAAGAGTATTTGAGTGTTCTCTTCATGTTCTTACGAATAGATGAAAAAGAATATCATCGGTTTAAGGATGTCGAACAAGAACAATCTCATCAAAGAAGAAGAAAAAGAGATCAAAAAAGATAGTTTTTCAGAATCCCAGTTGGAAAATATTGAAGAAGGTGAAGGGAATGAAGAAAAAAAACCAGAGGATGAAAAAGTAGCCAAAATTCTATGTTTAGGAGAGTCCGAGGTAGCCGAAGACGATGATGGGTTCAAAACTCCGACATCTTCAGACAACAAAATCCCAGTGATGACACAGTGCCCACCAGCTCCCAAGAAAATCCGGCCAGAACCATCAATGAAGAGAAAAGCGTCATCGCCGCCTAGAAGCCTCCAGTTTGATGTACCGGCAGCCGAGGTCGATTCGATATTTTCTCCAATATCTAAAGACCAGAAATTCAAGAAACCTAGAAGAGATCATAACGAAGATTGAAGATTATTTTTTTATCTACCTCTGTGGTAAGGAATTTTTAGAAAAAGAAGATAGTGTCAATTTCTCTTGTAATCGTCTAATGAATTTCTTGAATCTACAGTACAATATACATAGCTACAAATTGTAATGATTGGGCTCTGAGAAACACAAATTTGGTTTAACTGCATGTACTGGCAAATCCTGGTATCCAGGTGAGCATGAGAAGAAAAATAATTTTCCGACGGAGTTAGCACGGGCGACTGCAGGGGCTCGCTGAGATCTGGCTCCGCCCTTGAGTGCATGTGTGTGCATTTTTAGGCAGGAGAATGAAATTTCAGAATTTCAAATTCATTACCTTTTTCCCTTTTTTTTTTTTTAATTGAAATGCAGTTCAACAAAAATACGATGAAGTTTCCCTCCTTGTGAAGGGAAGATTCGTAATTTCCTCTTTGTAGTTTAATGCTAGTATTCGTGGATCTCTCAAAATGTTTGAAATGAACACGAGCCAAATATAGCTTATGAATGTGTTGTTGAGTACTGTATAATTGAGGCTTGCGACAAGAGAGGTAATTTTTTTAGTAATTTTTTGTGTTTTGTCATAATTGTTATTCACTAATTCTATTTCTCTGTCTTTTTTTCTTTTTAATATATATTTTCTAGAAGAAAATCTACATATATAAATTTGAAAATCAGCCAAGATTCCGAAGAAAACATCACAGAATTCTATTCAAATTAAAGGGAAAAAAAGGCATAAGCATTGAAATAAAAAAAGTGCATTGTGTTCAGTTTATACAGGAAAACTGTTAGCGGAATTTGGGGTAAAAAAATCAAATGGTGACTAAATTTATAAGTGGGTTCCAATATGGTCACTCTACTTTTAATTTGTTTCAAATTAGTCATCCAGCTTTTAATTTTGTTTTACTATATTAGTCATATTTTTATAATTAATGTATCAAATGACTATATATTTTGCCATGTTAGAGAGTATATTTATTTGAAAACTTCTTTTGATGCTAATCGAGTAGACCATTATTGAGTTAAAAGGAGACTAATACATTGACCAATGAGAATCGAAATTTTATTAATTTTCTGACTAATGCGAATGAATTTATGTTCAGCTATCAATGTGAAATAAATTTTAATGGTGGGACTAAGGTGGAATTTAAGTTTAGTAACCAAAATGAAAAGGAATTTTAATAAATAATTAAAACAGCAAAGATAAATGGTCCAAACGTGCATCGAAGAAAATTAGTCTAGAGGTGGTGCACCTAAGGTCTTTAAGCCATATGCCCACTTTGCCCACAACCACAAGTATTATCACAGTCCTTACTTCGACTTATAAATATGTTGGTTAAAATGATTTAAATTTAAATCACGTTCTTGGTAAAAATAAATAAATTGATTTGAACTAAATTTTCTAAATTTAAAATTAATAGAGGATATAGTGCGATTTTATGAAATTATTTGAGTTCAATAATCTTCATCTAAGTTGATAATTGAAACCTTTTGGCCTTCCCGCCTTCTATAGATCTTTTGTGGCAGTTCTGCTAGATGTGCTAGTTGGTTGTTAAACAAGGACACATGGTTATATTTTAACGTTGCTTCGTTGCGTCCTTTGTACTCTCAGAGCTGCGTTGATAAAAGAAAGCATATCAAGCAAATGCATCCGCAACGACTAGTGTAAGTCGCGGGCATAAATCTAGATTTTGATTATTATAGTTTTGATAGATTCTAGACCTCAAGTAACAAAAATACTATTGTCTGTGCTCTCTTAAGTATTGTCTCGATTACTTATCTAGGCACTTATGCCACTTTTTATAATCCATAGGTCAAGTTGATCATATGCCTAAGAATGAACATCGATGAAATCTCATTGTTTAGTTTAAAAACCTTACCAATCTCACAAGTCAAAAAAATCGAACCCATTGCAATATCATCTAAAATTCTTTATACCGAATACAATTTTGATGGAACATATGTCAACCCGAAACAGTATCTACCCAAAAATTTAAATAATAATAATAATAATAATAATAATAATAATAATAATAATACCCTATACATGTCAAGAGTTAGCTAAATGGGTACATCATTTGTTACAAGTTTCTTATTAATAAATTGCACTGTCACTCTCCCAAATTTGTTTAAATCTTATTGCACGTGATGGCAAGTCACCTTACTCTTAGGCACGTCTCAAAAATCAAAATTAGTGGGTAAGATGTGGAGGAAGTTTATAATATTATTAGCATTAACCCTCAACGTGAAGGGATGAAATAATTCAATAAATTCCAAAATATTAATTTGTAACGGTTTATGTTAATGTCCCTTGTTTTCCTCTCTTCCACTTGTCTCTTTCCAGACCATTTCTCAGGTTCACCAAAACACATTCTAATCCTTTGATGAAACCAAATTCAGATTACATATTTTCTTGATTTGATTCGTTCAAATTTTTGTTACAATGGACAGGAGAACATTAACCATGAATTGGGATGGTCTCGGAGAGGATGATGATGATGATGACAGGTTCTTTGAAACCTACCAAAGAATATCATCGGCTGTTCCCGTCGATTTAGCCTCCTCCGGTTCCGACGATGATGATGGGTTTGAGGATGGCCGGATGTCGTTTGTCTCCGCCGTCTCCTCCCTCTCCGTCAAACCAATCCACAACCTTGACATGGAGGCGAAACCGTCCATTATGGCCAGCTATGACATGTGGATGGCGGAACCCGGCGACATTAAGGAGCGGAGGAAGCGTCTTTTGAAAGGCATGGGGTTGGCAAGCAATAAGGACCTTGTAAAACTCGCCAGCCCCAAGTTTGTCCGGGCCATTTCAAGCGGCGGTGGTCGAGTTTCTACGTCGAATGTTGATTCTTCGCCATCGGAGGAATTAAAAGTAGACGAACCTTCGCCTTCAACGCCGAATTTGCTCGTCAGGTCGAGATCAGATAGTGATATAGATGCTTTTTCTGCAAGAACTAAACAACGTAAAGAAGAATTAATTGGTCCAGTATCGAAACAGCGTTTAACTAGAACATCATCTGGGCAATTGGTACCAATTACAGGTTTATGTCCATACGCAAATTCTATCAGAATATCACCAAAAAGACCTAGAAACAGATCTTCAATGCCAGGTAGTGATGCATTACAATCAGTATTTTCTAATGCTGGGTTGGGTTCCTTCTTCTTGATTAAGAATTTAGATACCGGAAAAGAATTCATTGTGAAAGAGGCTAATGAAGAAGGAATGTGGAATAAACTCAGCGAGGTTCAAACAGGGAAACAACTTACAATGGAGGAATTTGAAAAGTCTGTCGGGTATTCACCGGTAGTGAAGGAGTTAATGCAACGTGCAAACGTCTCGACACATTTGGATTACGGCCCAAAAATCCATGCGAATTCATATTTTTCAAAGAGTTTCAGAAATAGCAAGAGAAGGGGTGTTGCGTTTTTAAAAGGCGTAGCAAATTCCATGAGTGGATTAATTGTAGACAAAGAAAGAGAGCACATTTCACCAGTGGCACAGAGAGCTAACAAGAATTCATCTCAATGGGTAAAAGTGCGCCAACATGGGAAATCCTACAAGGAATTCACAGCATTGCATTTGTCACAAGAAATTCAAGCTCATGAAGGATCAATATGGACTATTAAATTTAGTTGGGATTCGCGTTTTCTAGCAAGCGCCGGTGAAGATAGGATAATTCGTGTGTGGGAAGTGCAGGAATGTGAGGTTAGATCACCTGATGATTTGAATTCATTTAGCGGCACAATTTATCATCCGATGGGCTGCTCATTTTCAGATCGACCTTCGCTTGCAGAGATTATGCCGATGCCTTCAGAGAAGAGGAAAAAGGGGAGAATCCACAAAAAAAAGGGCAACTCAATTCCTGATTATGTAACCATGCCGGAAACTGTATTTGCACTTTCAGAAAAACCAATATGCATTCTGAATGGTCATCAAGACGATATCTTGGATCTCTCGTGGTCTAGATCTCAGGTCAGATTCTGGTAATTTATCTGAGGCCAAAAAAGGTTAACTTGATTCTTATTAAACTGTATTTGGTTAATGTTGAATGAGAAAATTTTATGCAGTTGTTACTTTCATCTTCAATGGACAAGACAGTGAGGCTGTGGGATTTGGAGACTAGAAGCTGTTTGAAGATGTTTGCACACAATGACTACGGTGAGTTTATAATTTATCGAGGCCTAGGCATTGACATGAGAGTTGCATTATTTACTGGAATTATACTTCTGATGATTATATTGTAATGCAGTAACTTGCATACAGTTCAATCCAATAGACGACGATTACTTCATCAGTGGTTCCCTCGATGGAAAAGTTCGAGTATGGAGCATACCGGGGAGACAGGTTGTCGACTGGACTGACCTTCATGAAATGGTCACTGCAGCTTGCTACACTCCTGATGGCAAGGTATGACTCTCTCTAAGGACTATGAAATCAATGCGCAAAGGATGTTCCGCTAATTTTTTCTTTTTCTTTTTAATACTGATTTCACTTTTTTCGATGTTGAAGGGTGCTATGATTGGTTCACATAAAGGGAGCTGTAGATTGTACAGTATTAATGGTATAAATAGCTATTGAATTCCATTGTCTCTGTTCATGTTGCCAATATCTGTGTTAATCACCAACATGTTTTGCAATTTTTAGATTGCAAATTAGAGAAAAAGGATCAATATGTTGTTCAGTCCAAGAAAAAGCCACAATCCAAAAAAATCACGGGTTTTCAGGTAATTTTGCTTCCAGCCGCGCCTTTCATAAACTTGCCAAGAAGTAACTAAATTTGTTTGTTCACAGTTTTCCCCTTGGAACCCGGCTGATGTCCTCGTTACATCTGCTGATTCACGGATTCGCATCTTCAGCGGATCACAGCTAATCCAAAAATTTAGAGGTATGCTTCTATGTTATGTTCAATCAAAACTTGAAGTATATATGTATCTGTAATGTAATAAGCCCATGATATGGTAACAGGATTTCGGAATACCAGCAGCCAAATTTCAGCTTCGTTCAGTTCAGATGGTAAATATGTCCTAAGTGCAAGTGAAGATTCTCATGTTTATATCTGGAAGCTCGAAGAATCCAGAGGGAAAGGCAGAAGTAAGATAACAGTCCTAGCTCACGAGCATTTCCACAGCAAAGAAGTTTCAGTTGCAATTCCATGGAATGGCAGCACGAAAATTGAGCCACCAATTGTAGAAGTACTCTCCAAAAGGCATCATTCAAAACGCTTCACAGGTCCACTGCCATATACCATTAGTCGATCTCCAAGCCGAGAAGACAATGTGGTTAGTGCTAGTAGTAGAAGGCATTTGCCTCCTCTCCCGAAGAAAAAAAACGCTGAAGTCGAGAGAATTACGAGCCATGCAGACGAAGATTTTGTTCAATCGGCTCGTATAGACTCAGGAATCGGTACAAGTGAATCACTTGGCTCATCAATAAGATATGGTGAATCACCTTCCATTTCAGCTTCCGGGAACTCTCATATATCTCATTCTTTTTCCTTGTCCTCCTCCTCGTCCTCTTCATGGTTTGATGGTGGAACCAATAGCCATGGAGCTCAAACTGTACAAGCAACGGCATGGGGAATGGTAATTGTAACAGCAGGTTTAGGAGGTGAAATTAGGGTTTATCAAAATTTTGGGCTGCCTCTAAAAGTCAGTCGCCAAACCAATCTCCTCAGAGACCTCACATAAAGAAAACTAGGGATGCTTGTTTCTTTTTAGAAGGGTGCTCCGAGTAGTGGGTACCTCGTAGGACCTTGACCCGCCTTCTCGGTTCTTCTATGGATATACAGGAATGAGTATTCTTAGATGTGCATAGCGATTGTGATGGTTTACGAGAATACATTTCTTGTCAAGTCATTTCGAGGTAACATACTTATCTTCATCTCATTGAAAGTAGGTAAATCATTCCCTAAAGGAAACATTCCTCCTCCATTTTGTACAAAATTAGTTGTTTAGGAGTTGAATTAAGTTAATACACATCTAGGTTTTTGTCTTCCTTTGTGATGTCAATGTCAACATTGCAAAGCACATGTTCTTGAGCTTTTTGCTCTTCTAATTTTGCCGTTTGAGTAAATCTTTTAGCTTTTTTCAAATTAATTTTCAACGCACATTCTGATATTAAAATATTTGACACATAAATCCAACAAAATATCATTTTTCTCACAAAAAAAAAGGTTCATTTTAATGATTGTCAAACAAATATTATTTTTAACCACGCATTTTTCAAAAAATTACTATTCAAACTCATTTTCACCAAAAAAAAAAAAACTTTCAAACACGGGCTAAGTCATGATCCTAATTAAAAATTAATAATATGCAAAAGGAAAGCAGACAATTGCGATGCAAACATATTGAAAGCCCTGAAAACTTAAAGGAACATACAAAATCCCTAAAATTTCGAAAGAGATTATACGGTGTCGTTTAATAGTTTGAAATTCGAATTCAAATCCTCGATCCGCGCCAGATCTGTACAAGCAGTGGTAGCGTTCAGAGCACAAATTTTCTCCGGCCACAAAAGTCAAACTCCTCGTTGACTATTTCTCTCAATATGGCGTCGCCGTTCATCATCGACGATAAAGACCTTGACGACGCCGCATTGTGGGCAGTCATCGACTCCGCCGCCGCCGCCTCCCTCTCTTCCTCGACCAAATCCACCATTTCAAAACCCCGCAATAAACCCCTGACACCAATTCCCTTCCCTCTCCCCTCTCCCCAACCAAAAAACCCACGCAACCACTACCAGAATCCCAACGGCGAGGCTATGCAGAACCACCGTCCTCAAAAAATTTCGCGGTCAAGCAATAGTTCTTGTGTATCCGAGCTCAGTGAATCGAGTCCTTCGCCACTGGCGGTGGTGAAGCACGTGCATCGCATGCCTACAACCCCTCCGCCATACTCTTCTAATTCGCCAGTGACGAATCATAGTATTAATAATGGTAGTTATGGTACTAATGGATCGGGGTGCAAAGCCATGAGTTATGGATATGGTGAGGGGGGAGAGATGAGGCATAGCTTGTATGGTCAGTTTCCAACTGTTAATCTCTTTAAGGAGTACCAAAATGCAGCTATGGCGGTACGTTATTCGTGGATTTGTTATAACTTTCATCTAAGTTGCAGAGTTATGAATATAAATATTTTTGTGTTTCTCAAGATATGTGAGATTGGCATAGTGTAGACAAGTGATTACGTTAATTTACCCATTTGAATTAATACAATCAGCGAACTTCAATGATTTTTTTATTTTATTTGTTTTTGCCGTTTGATCCTGTTTCTCCAAATTCTGGATGTGTTTATTTGATAATTATTTTACTAGGCTGTTCCAATTTCAAGTAATTAAGTTCAATACAGTTAATAATTCTATTTAGAATTCTAGGGGATGTAGAAGGAGAAAAATGTAGGTTCGAAACTAGCTGCAACTCTGGGTAGAGATGTTATTCTGTTGAATATAACATATATTCCGTTTAATAGGACTACTACATACTTGTCAGGTCTTGTATTTTAATGAATTAATATGTTTGTCATATAGTCTGGAATCGAATAGTTGATCGATTTAGCTCTTGAGATAGACCAATGTCTTCTATTAGGCTGGGCTAAACACCTGTAAGTTTCGTCTACTGATATTGCTAGCAAAAATACATAATGCTCTTTTTGTAGAATAGTTGTCAGATGAAGCAATCTACCTTGGGTGAGTTTCCTCTAAAAGCTTTTCTAACCAAGACAAAGCACTTTCAGAAAGTTATCCAAAGAGGTCCAAAAGCAGTTTCTTGGTCTCAGAAGCAACTTTTGGCTTTTCATTACCCCTTGCCAAATGGCGCTAAAATTAACATGCATTGTGATTCCGTAATAAATTATAATATCTACAATCATACGCATGTGCTGAGGCTGCAGACGCATAGCATGATGTCTAGTTCTGTTATCTGGTTATGATTTTGTGTGGAATCATGTGTTCAATTTCTTGTTAACTAATACGAGCAACAAACATTACCAGTCTTTTTCCTCTGAAGAAAGTTGGTTTTCTGCTATCTGAATGTATGATTACTCTATTTTGATGTTTTCTGGACAGATATTAGAGAAAAGTGATTACATCATGATTTCTGGAAATCCTTTTATTAAGAAATCAGGTGAAGTAGCAAGTTTGTACAGTATGTTTTCGTACACATATAGTTTTCAGTTATCACATGATTCATTGTTGTGTATATTTACAGGATGGAGAAAGATATCATTTTATTTCAATCTGTCATATGAAATTAAAGACAAGACCATTGAATTTGATCAGAATCGTAATGTTCAGCGTGCTGAATTTGTGGTTCGTGCATATATGCAGTATGTTCTTTGACTTTGTCGGATATTATTTTTACAAAATTCTTTTATCTTTAAAATTTTCCTTACTTTGAATTCTACTCTTTTATGTCTTTTGTAGGGGTGGTAGATTTTCAGATGGATGGGGTTCATGTGAACGACGAGAGAAGAGATTTCTGAAACCGAACCACGATATCCCCAGTACAGCAGAAACTAGAGCAAAAAACAAGTCATGCCAGGTACGTATTCCTAATTAGCAGTCTTACTTTGCGAACCTTTCCACTGATTGATGCTCTTTATCCAATATTTATTCTTAGTTTCTCGACTACAAGTGCATGGGTTATAGTTAATATGTGATATCCCATTAATATTCGGGGGAGCCAGCACTGTGTTAATCTGCACCTTTCATGACGCAAGTTATTTCCAGCCTTTGAAATGCAAGTTCAATTATATGTCTTGTTACCTATATTACTACTCCATGAATTAGTAATCCAACAAAGCAATAGTGTATCCTTACTTCCAAATGGTATGATTCCTGTTAATTTCCAGTTTTCCTTTCCTCTGTTCTTTTATTGCTACATGATATCATTTCAAGAATATGTTTTCATTGGACTTTATATGTGTAGCCTTCAGTTAATTTTTCTCTTTTACCTTCTGCTTTAGAATGGAGTCACAGAACAGGTCCTAACAAAGTTCTTTTTGTCTTGGCTGATCTATCTTCATAGATAAACTTTAAATTACTTCACTTTTTTAGCAGTATCCCGTGGTATTCGGAAAATCATTGTACCATGGGTTGTTGGGTGGCGTTTGATTTAAGACAGGCTTATTCTCCAATTGTGGAACTTCTTTTTTGTACTTTCTGTGCTTCCCCCTTCAAGCGTTGTTTGAAACTTCAGTAAGTTACACTACTAAATGTGTTCTGGATTGGGCTTTTGGTTCATGAGTGGTGTTATTCAATACCAACTTGTTTCTCTGGTGAATCTTTATAACTTCCGAACTCAGTAACGCGAGCCAAGGTTGATATCTAGAGTTTGTACCTGTTTTTCATCCCTGCTTTGATGTGGCCTTAGTACGCTGTTAACTATATGATCATACGTAGTTGAAATTTAAAGTAAGGTTACGGCTGCCAATATTTAGTCATTTATGATTTCCATGAGTTGGCTTTAAATTCTGATAACATGCAGTTTAGAACAAGGATTAAGCAGTTGAATCACATCAATAGTAATATATTGTGTGAGCTTTGAAATAGCTGAGATTGCTTCTTGTGTATGTGCCATGGTGATAAATAGTATCTCGCCATAGAAGTCAAGATGTCTGGCATTTAAGTAAAGTTGAGAAGTATAGATGTTGAACACAAATATCAGAAGTTTCCAGATGAAGAGCCATTTGCATCTGGTTTCCACGGGATAGGGATACCATGAGAGCTTCGGTTCTTGAAATCACAAAACTAGTACAAGGTGAAATTTACCAGATGTTGGAGATTGAAATACCATTCTAACAGTACATTTGAAGTGTCCACGCCTGTCCAAATACCCAAGTGATGAATCTGACAACTTTTCTGTTGAATGAAGATAATGCTAAACCAATATATATAGACAAATTTGGAGAAGACTTTAACAATATATAAGGGATTAAGGACTTTAATTATAAATAAGGGATTAAGGACATTCTCCTTTTCTGACAAGTGACATTCGCGTCCATGACGAAACTGCTCCAAAATCTGATTATTGGCCCAGAATCCTCAATGTTTTTTCTGTCTTCAGTTTTCTGTTCATGCAAACTTAGTCATTGACTTTTAGGGCATCTTTGATGTAGATTTTGTGAAAAGTGATTTTTTTTTGGAGAATTTGTAGCTAAAAAGTAGGAAAAAGTTAGGAATTTACTTGCAAAATTATTTTATTGGGAGGTATTGCAGTTGGAAATCGGTTTGAAAAAATGAGTGTTATAGAATTTGTATCGTACTGGACTTAATGTTTGCATGTGCCTTTGTTTTTTGGGTTATTTTTTTGCTTAAATTTGGTAGGGAATAACAGAATAAACTGCCATCATTCTTGAATCAACTCTTCTGAGTTGTGTGTTGGTACACGGAAACATGATCATTGTAAATATATGCAGGACCTGCTCGGAATTGGAGAGTATCGGCCTGGGGCAAGCCATGCTAACCCGTAAACTATGGTTCAGCCCACTTTTCTTCTGGCAACCTCACCTGCTAGTTTTGAAGGGGATGCATACTAAATTACTCTTTGGTACCGTGAGAGAGAGAGAGAGAGAGAGAGAGAGTCAGTGTTCATTATTGATATATAGTAACTCCTTTCATTGGATCTTCTATTTCTTGAACTATCCCAAATACTTGCTAATGGTTTCATAAAATCCAATTACATCTTGTATCCTCTGAAACAGTTGTTGTAATTGTACTTGATTGTATCAAATATTTCATAGGCTAAAGAAGAAAAAAGTAACTGAATTTCAATCCCTTGTCTGGTAATATACATTGGCAAGGAAATATGTCTGTCACAGCATTTCTTAAAGTGGTAGATGACACCACTTATATTTGGTTCTTCCCATGTCCTCTTTGTATTTTAACTTGTAAGTGATAATAACTTTGATTAGATAAACACTGTAGAACTGTCAAATTTTTTCATGATATGTACTGTGCCTAGTTTTCGAATAAGATTTGAACTTTTTTCTTTTTAAAATCATGTCTAATACTGTCCAGTCCAATGTATTATCATCTATATTTAATCTAATGTGCTTTTAACATTATACAAAGAGTCAATGGGCTGAATAAGAAGATTAGTTTGGTTCACAGTTTCAAGGATTTGCAGCTTTTGCCTCCATTATTACCTAGTTAAAGTTATTTGGTTTAACATTAGAAGAGCCATTACCATTGTGATTCATTCCTCCACGCATTCTGTACAATGTACAACTCACACATTTTGTAGAATATCAACTTATAAGCTCTTAAAAGTATTACAAAATATAATTGCTCATACTGACCAAGGACTTATGATGTGATGGGCTGCTTAATCGATCGGCACATTTTGACACTTCTACCTACATTTCTTGATTATAATGTTTGAGAAAATATTTTTTGTAATGACAATTTTACTATTTGGGCCTCGTTTGGTACACATGAATGTAAAAATGATAATGAAAAATATAGTCGTTACAGTCTCCACACAAGAAATAGAAAGTCAAATATGGTGGTTTGATGTGATGAATAACGGTTATATTTATCATTTTAATGAACAAATAATGGAAAACAAACGGCGGCTTGATATTGTAGCACCGACTCATTTTGTGTCACCAATGATGGACCGGTGAGCATATTTTGTCTCTACCCTGCATAGCGTGGGACACAAAGGTGGATCTGAGGCAATTGGTGAGTTCTAGAACACATATTTAAAAGACGGAAACGCAGATGCAAAGATGTGATAGAAAACAAGAAATTATATAGAAAAATATTTTTCAATAAAAAAATATTATCTTAAAAAATCAACGCCAACAAGGATAAAAGCACATTAATGCTTCCATACTACAAGTCATTAAAAGTGTATTTTTCCATAAGAAATGGTGAGATATTCATGTTGCCTATTAGACACTTGTTTGGTTGTGATTAAAATTTAGGTCAATGTCGATAATTAATTTTAATAATATATTTTATGGGATCCACGATTTTTCAAATACACATTTTATCAATTTTTATCAAAATAAACTAAAATTCTCATTTTAATCCCCACCAAACTGGGGTTTAGATGTCAAATCGGATGCCACACCATCAATTCATTGTTTAAGAACACATAATTTATTTTTTGGACTAATTCAGTTCATTGCTTAAAGTTAAGGAACTATTAAGTCCTTGACGACGGTTATTCTTTGTGTAGAATGAGTTTTTGAATAGTGAATTTTTGAAAAATATTTAATTAAAAATATGAAAAAAAAATTTGAATTTGTGTGAAGAATATTTTATTGTAAAAATATGTGGTTGAAAATGAGTACGAGAAAAAAAAAGTTATAAAAGAACAATTGTCAAATAGGGCTAAAGTTCAAATTAAAGTTTAAGGATTTTTCAGCACGTATTGCAAGTTTAGGGACCATTAAGGGGTTTTACCCAGTTGATAATCAAATTTAAAGTATAATGATAATATATTTCCGAAGTTCTCTCATAACAAATTGTTGCAGTCCCATTCTTTTTACAGTGAAAAATAGGGAAAATTGCAGTCAAAGTACCAAACTTTTCGTTTATTAGCAGATTTTGTCCAAACCTTTAATTTGTATTACCCACAGTCCCAAACCTTTCAAAAATATGCACCGAGAATTCAAATGGATGGAAACCGTCCGTTTGACCATTAGTTGACTAGAAAAGTCAAAATTTAACCAATTTGGACCGAATTAAAAAAGGGCAAAGTGGTACTTTGCATTTTTTCTTAATATTAATAATTAAAATAATTAATAATAACAATAGAAAAGTAAAAACAAAAACAAAATAAATAAAAATCAAAGAAAAGAAAGGAAATACGGTTCATCTTCATCTTCACCCCACCCCACGCCACCACACCCAACCCCGATTCCATGGGCAGTCACCACAGTTTCCGACCAACTTGACCCCTCAATTTATTTCTTTCTCTGGCCATTGTAGCACCAGCTGCCGAAGTCCCCTTCCCCTCAACAGATCGCCACATGTACCATGCCCCACCCCACAGGATTTGGAGGCAATGAAATCTCCAAACCCATTGGGCGTCATGATTGCTAGAGGAGATCTTGCAGTGGAATGCGGTTGGGAAAAGCTGGCAAATATATTGGAAGAAATTATTTCAATCTGCAATGCTCCCCATGTACCTGTCATTTGGGCAACACAGGTTCTAGAGTCACTTTTTAAGTCTGGAGTGGCCACTCGAGCTGAAATTATTGATGCAGCTAATGTTTGGGTGTGGTGGCGTGGAGTTGGGTGGGGCGGGGTCGAGTGGAGTGGGGTGAAGGTGAAGGTGAAGGTGAAGGTGAAGGTGAAGATGAAGATCAACAGTATTTCCTTTCTTTTCTTTGATTTTTATTTATTTTGTTTTTACTTTTCTGTTATTATTATTAATTATTATTAATTATTAATATTAAGAAAAAATGAAGAGTACCACTTTGCCCTTTTTAATTTGGTCCAAATTGGTCAAATTTTGACTTTTCTAGTCAACTAACTGTCAAACGGACGATTTTCATCCATTTGAACCCCCGGTGCATATTTTTGAAAAGTTGTGAGTGGCACAAATTAAATGTTTGGACAAAGTCTGTTAATAAACAAAATGTTTGGTACCTCAACTGTAATTTTCCCTTAAAAATACTAGAAATTTAAGTAAGAGTATATTTTCTTGAATTATGAAGCATATGTCTACTTCAGCTAAAAAGTTGAATTAAAATTGAATTAGAAATTAATAATTATTTTTAACTTCAAATTTTATAAAATTTACAACTTTTCAATAATTCATTCCATTAACTTTTATTAAAATTTTAATTTTTCAACCTAGTTGCATTGTTGTATGAGGAAATTTTGGGAGTGTATTCAATTGAAACTCTTAAAGATTTTGATGGACTTTTTTTAAGTGCTGACTTCTGTGGATTTCATGAATCTTTTATAGATTTGTGTAGAATTAGTGAAAGTCTTTCATAGATTTTTATGAACTTTTATTTTAAAATTTTTATAAACTTTTATAGAATTGGAAAGACTTTTGAAAACTTTAATTGGAAATAGAATTCACGTGAATTTAGTATAATAATATGAAATTCTCGTATATGAGGTGTTGATTCCTACAATTCCCTTTTTCCTTCCCATTCTTCTTCCCATATAATAATAATAATAATAATAAATTTAAAAGAATAAAAATTTAAGACCTTAATTAAATAAATAATAATCAAAATTATACATATATACGATAAACAATAAATTTAATATTCAATATTATTAATATAATACACTTTTAAAAATAAATAAAAATCAATATATTTAAATTTAATTATAAAATTTTCATATAAAATTTTATAATTTAATAAAAAAAAATAGATATTTTTCAACAAAAAAAAAGAATGAAAAAAGAAAAAAAAGTTACAAAATCCAATTTATTTTTTCATAGAAAATAAAGATAAACAATAAGGGAAATAAAGATAAATGAAAATAAATATAATCAATAGAAAAAAAATTTAATATTACCTCTAATGTTCGTAGAAGAAGAAGAAAAGATTCAATTTTTTTTAATTTTATTTAATTTTATTTTTTTGGTGAATGTCTCCGAAAATCTCATGATTAATAAGAGACAAATCTTAAAATTTCATTTGAGTACTTTCTATTTAAAAGTTAGTAATCCAAAAACTTTTATAAAAGTCTCTAGAAGTTATTAAAATTTGAATACCCAAAAACTTATAAAGACTTTTAAGAAGATTCAATTGAATACAATTGAATATACTATAAATTTTAGACACTTCTTAAAAATTTATAAATTTTCAATTGAATACATCAATATTTTTAGAGGGTTTCAAAAAGACTACATTGAATATTCCTAAACTTTTTAAATCCCAAAAAGTTATTCAAAGTCTCAATTGAATGCACGCCCTTCGTTTATCTAATTTAACAGCAATTTAATTGGAATACAGTATCTATAGTTCCATTGTGCTTATAGTATGTTTAGCGAATCTTGTCACATGTGCAACAATATTTACATAATAGATTGCATAATACTACATGAAACTCTATCATTTGTCAGTTTAAAGCACAATCAACTTTTCTATCAAAATTTCCCTCCACATTATTTTTGGTAATAGCTTATGTACAATTTTTATGTACAAGTAGCAAAATCCTTGTTCAGCAAGGTGAACTCAACAATACATGTCAACTATCTAAATAAAGTAGTAAAGAACAAGCACATAGTACGTTTAGCGTATCTTGCTGCTAGAATTGGACCGTGAGCCGAATTCTTGTTGAATATTTGATTGAAAATATTGTTGGAGTAGTATTGAGAGTTTGTTGTGAACTTCAAGAAGTCTTGAAAGAGTTCAAGAAGAATAAGGTGAATGATTCCTTTTTTAGTAGTTTTTTTAAACTCCTATTTCATCCCAATATCCCATTTTGTTTGACTCATTGTATCGATCTTCACTTTATATCAAACTTTTCATATATTAATTCTCCTAATATATTAGAAATTCTTTGGTTATAAACATGTGGTGTACAAAACATATTGGAATTGTCCAATTAGTTATTGGTTCAAAAAAATCTTTTTTAACTCCTTACTATTGATTATAGTGAATTCTCTGTCCGTGATTTTCCCGAATTTGGATTTTCACGTAAATCATGTTTTCTCTATGATCCATTATTTTTAGATTGGCCATATTTTCTCGCTCTTTAATTATTTGACCCAATTCATAACACTTGTTACATGTACATCAAGATTTACACAATAAACTACATATTAGCACAAGACACTCTACCATTTGCTTTTTTAAAATACAATCAACTTTTTTCATTCAATCTTTTCCCCTCACATTATTTTTGATAACCGCTTATGTACATTTTTTATGGTGTAAATAGCAAAATCCAAGTTAAGCAAGGTGAACTCAACAATATTGGTCAGCCGTCTAAATAAAGTATTAAGGAACAAGCATTGAGTCTGTTTAGCAAGGTGAACTCGACAATATTGGTCAGCTCTCTAAATGACTTGAGAACAAGCAAAAAGCAACAAATTTTAGAGGAATGGGCATCTTTCGTACATCCAGATGTGTGTTATTCACGTTTGGTAATACGAAAAGTTTATCTTTCACTAGAAACTGGGCACATAAAATAGAGAAAACCCTCTATATTCAAGAAAATAATAATCATAAAACCGCTTTTGGACTTGAAACTGCCCAATTGCTCTTCAATCTAATCTAGCGCTAGACTGAAGTTATCAAGATAAGTGTTGCGTCTCTCCTGGTTCCAAGCCCTAAGTCTTATCAAACTCGTTGCAATCGTCACCAACCTTACCTGAACCGCGGCCCAATCTCCCAAATGAACCCAAGGATGACAAACTCTTGAAGCTGCTGCTGCCTTCACCAAGATTAAATGACTTTCTTGTTCTTCTAGGCATTGTAGAACTAAACTCCAACTCCATCTCACAATCAATTTTATTCTTGGCAACAACTAACCGAGTAATGGGAGTCCGACAGAAGGGACAGAGTGGAATTTTTGCAGAATTAGCAGCAGAATTGGGTTTGTTGTGACAGCACAAAGCCAGAGTGCAATGAGCACACATCTCATGACGACATTCTTGAACCTCGATTGTGCACTCATGCTCGAAGCAAATGCAACATAGCTTGGCATCGTTGACCTGCATGATATTCTTCGACTATAAAGGGTGAAGACTAGATTTGTTATAGAGTAATCATTTCACGGCAAAGCTACACTACCATATATTGGACTCGACGGTACAATAGACAAGATATTATCTTCTTTTTCTTTTTTTATTATCCAATCCAACATGCTCAACATGCCATAAGTTTTTCATGTTCTTGAAGCACACCTATGGTTATTGAATATGGGATTACTTTTCCCTTTATCTTCTTAATGGAAGTATTCATTGAAAACAAGCAGCAAGTAGTAATATTGCTCATGGAACATTGTCTCACTCTCGCTCCATTTTCCCCAATATGGTTGTATGCATTTTTAAATGAACCTCAAGCAGTATATATCATAATTAAGAATTCATTGCACATCTTTAAATTAGGAATATATCAAAACAATATAAGATTAATCGCAGCAGGATAATTCTTTTGACCCTTTATATATTAAATCTGCCTGGATGAATTTAGGAAAAGTCAAATTGCTCCCTCTTTCAGATTGTAGTAAAATTCTGAGACATCATAGATTTTTATATCTTAGGTTCTAAGACTACAAGATAAAGGATATTCTAATTTTTCTTTACCTGAAAAGAAGTTTTAATTTTAGCCATTTTCGAAATAATCTAGATCAAGAATCTACAGAGATCTATTCTTAAGAGCCCTTCATTCTGTTATGCGAAATGGAATTCAATATACTCTTGGAAGGTTTTGTACCTCAAAATCATCGTCAGTGCCACCAAAACTAGAAGGTTGTGGATTTGAGTCAGATTTCTCCATCAAGATAGCTTTTTCTCTCTTTTTATTGGCTTCAATTAGGGCTTTTTCTAATAAACTTTTTGCCTCAGGATTCAACTCATTGATAAATTTCAAGGACGAGGGCCAAGTCAAAGGCTCAGGAGCCAGAGGATTTAACAGCGCGGCACATGCGTCGTGTTTGTGCTTCACAGCAACCATGTAAGGTATTCTCCTGCAGAGTAACCACACCATATAAATGAGTTATTGTAGTTTTACCCGTGAATATGAAGAAATAAAAAGGTCAACTAAATTGAATGCAATATGAACATGGTAAAGAACAGTTTTTTTTTTTTTTTTTTTTTGCTTTTTTTCCCCCCAAGGTTCAGGGATGCAGCAATGACATGTAAAAAACGATGTTTGGTTCAACTGGTAGTAATGCGTTAAAATATTGGTTCCATATGACAGAAAAACCAACGTTAAAGTAGACATCTCAAAGTTCGGGTATCCATATTCTTTAAGCGTTTTCACCTAAAACATCTCAACTCCAAGATGAATTGGTTTATTGATCACAAAAGAATTCTATGGAGACATGAAATCACCCAGTGAAGCTTTCCCTTTGTCCAAACTAATTAGCTAGACAAGAGGCGAGAATTATCAACATTTGAAACTGCAAGACTTAAAACCAGTAAAACAATATGTGCAATAAGTTACTTCGATGGAGATGCATGTGTTTCGGAGAAATTTCCATGGCTCACCCAGAGGAATCTCTTTGAAGACGATCAGCACCCCAAGCAAGCAATTCTCGAACACAGTCCAAAGAACCACCCCGTGCAGCCAAATGAAGAGGAGTACTCCCTGGGTAGCTGCAAAGAGTATCTATCATTATAACTGATGAATGCGACAAAATGCTAAAAGAACTATATTAAAGTCATACCTATATCCACCAGTGGAGGCAGACGCAAGAGCCCCACTGCTCAATAGAACGCGAACACAATCACGTTGCCTTTGACGAGCTGCCAAATGCAGTGCGGTTGCACCTCTTCCATCCCTTATGTTAACAAATCTCGAAAATCCCCTGCCCTCCCATTTGAGCACAAGAATTAGCACTTCATTTTTAATAGACAAGCATTGGGGGTCATAAATCTAGATAAGACAACATATGGAAGAAATAGTCACCAAGAATGCGCAACTGGAGTAGAATGAGCAGAAGAAAGAATCAACTGTAGGCAATCTGAATGACCATAGTAGGCTGCATAATGCAAACAGGTTCTTCCATATAATGTATCAAACAACAATATCTGAAAAATCCCCAAGAAAAATCAATCATCAAACTAATAACTCAAGTCAAAAAATACTCTCAGAGAGAGGGGGGCAAAAAAAAACATTGAAGCAAAATGCAATGATCATACATTTGCTCCAGCTTGAACCAGTCTTCCCACGCAGGAAATATTTCCATGCATAGCAGCTAACATCAATGGAGTCTGACCCATCAAAATTAAAGAAAAACAATGCAACGATATGTGAGAAAATAAATGCATCTCAACTCGAAATTACATAAAAATAACATGGCGAGCTTCCTTTAAACAAGAATCAAACAAACCACACCTGTTTATGGCGATTCAATATATCTGGATTACTACACCGATCCAAAAGCACAGAAAGAACCTATCAATATACAGAACGAAGAAAGTTTGATCAAACTGTACGGACGTAATTAAGTCAAGAAACTCACTAATCAACGAAGATCTCAGAAAACCCACCTCGATCTGACCATTTGCAGCAGCTACATGAAGTGCAGAGAGTTTTCCATGTACGGTTTTCACTGTCAACAAATTTGGGTTCTCATCGGCCATTGCTTCAACTGTTTCAATCTCTCCAGTTTGGACTGCAACGAACAGATCATTTTCCTGAAGTTGTCCGCAGCTCAGCCCCTGCCCCATTTCCTAGACATTAATTGAAGCGTCTTAGCTTGTCGTCGACGCGCCACCCTCCACAGCGGAGTAGGTGGATGTTAGTGGTAAAAGTAACACGATAGTGGATGTAGAAGTGGAGAGGGGTAAATAAAGAATTGAAGCGATCTTGGACTTTGGGCTTGCCCGCCGGGATTCCGGGCAGCTGACCAGTTGCCCTAGGTAAATTTTCGATATTAATTTAATTGTACCAAATGTCTTATTTAATTTTTGACTGAAATGACAAGTGGCGCCCCTATTCGAGGGGTGTATGTCTACTCCAATAAAGGCGCGACACTTGTAAATTCGGTCATCCATTTGGTAAATGATATGGTATATATAGCATCTCCCAAATTTTCGGGCATATGTCGGAACTTTATTTTTTGTGTAATCACTATTTTTATAATAAAGACGATATTAAGCTTTTTCCAATAAATGATAATGAATTAATGGTGACTGGAGAAATTTGTTTAAAATTACGAATATTAAATTTTGTATTATAAAATTTTTGAAATAACAATTGAACGAAAGAATTAAAAATCGAGGGCGAGCGATTTCTTTTACATATGAAGAACCAAAACATTTAGAAATTAATCAAATTTTCATGCTCTATTTCTTCATACAAGAAAAAGAAAGAAGAAGATATTATATTTATTTATTTATTTATTTTAATAATCGATTGTATTGTTAAAAATTAGAATTTAGTTTGATTCAACAGAGAATCTATGTTTCAATAAAGTTTACTACAATTTAAATGGATGGTTATAAACTAAAGAAAAGTATTTTAGCCTTATGAAGGAGAACTTTTCTGCCAGAAACAAATTGTTAGTCTGTTTGGGAGGGATATTTTACTCTCAAAAAATTAATTTTTTGCCCGTTATTTTACTATTTTAATCGTAATTTTTGACTTCTTCTCTCATACGTGGACTCCACTTATCTTCTAATGGTCAAAAAATCAATTATCAAAATGGCTTGTATTTTGACAACTTTATCGGCATGATATTTTTTTGGTAGGGATAATTATGATTGTATTAAAATAAGGTTTTCGTTAGTAATTTCATAACATATAGAAAATTGGATTCAACAGTATAATGAATATTATTTAAATTTAACTGGTCGTTATTTATTTAATTGCATCTTGCAGTAATAGCACAGTCCAAAAATCCTATTATAAATTTATATTTATTTGAATTTTGGTCGGTCTAATTAAGACGCTTGACTGTGGTGCTTGGCCTCTTTCCCGAGTTGAATATCAATTATTTAATTTTATATTTTTCAAAATCTTTGTTCAATATTCATGTCGTGTAGACATACATTGTCAAATTTTCCCACCTTAGAAAGAATATGTTGAATAGAAAAAGGTCAAAAGAGTCAAAGTAATACATATTCATGCTTACTTTACATCACAGTCCATACTTTATTTTAAATTAGAGCTATATTTATATATTTATATTATTACTCCTCAAAACAGTGGCTTGGACACGTGTCATTAATTTTAATATTTTTCTTTAGATATATGGAATTTAGAATATTCTTTGTATTACTTGGACCCATCAGGTAATGAACGAAAGCGCGTTATGATAATTATGTCAAAGTCCCCCAAGTAAATAAATTTGTGTTTGAAACGACTAATGTAGGTTTCTGATTAGCTAAATATATTCACATCACGATTTTTAGCCCCCGTCTGACCTCCTCTTTTGAAAATGAAAATTGCTGGAATAAAGTTTTTTTTTGAAAAATGAATGATTGAAAAGGAAGGAAATGTTTTTAATTTATGTATAATATTATTTTATGAAAGATTGTCTAGTTGTAAACAGGATAGAAAAAAATGAAATATAATTGAATAAAATTTAGTGAAGGCCAAACGGGGGCTTAATAACTAAACTAAATGTTAATTTTCTAAAAGGTTTATAACCTTTATATATTATCACATTAATATCTCAAACTTTCAGATATTTACATAAATTGTTCGGGATTACAGTTTCTCTTCAAAAATTTCTTTAACATAGAGTAAAAAAACTTATTTACCCGTTATAATTATAAATAGGCAAAACAAATAATAATACAAAAATGATCAAATATTTGAACCTCATTTAAAGCACATTAAAGATATTTTTGGATGAAAAAACAATATTTTCCGGTAAATGAAATGTTAAAAATAAGAATGTAATTAAAAAAAATGTTAAAGATTTAAGTTGATGAATAAAGGTTAACTACCTTTCATGTAATTAAAATGTGATGTATTTAAAAAAAGAAAAATAAAAATAAATAAAATTGGTGTGAATATAATCACCATTTCCAATATGATGTTGGGAATATACATATTGTGTATTGCGTAATGTTAATATATCCAACGCGCTTTGTACCTCTAATTTGAATTTTGAATTGATTATGATTTATTTATAGAATCTCAAATATTAGACGTAAGCGTTTCAACAAACACAAGCCAATGTGTGTTCTTTTCAAAAATGAAAAAGACATCATCACTGCCTACCTACTTTACAAAAGCCTATAATTTCCAGCCATTCGCTCCAATTATTTTAGACCTTTATATGTTAAACTCAAATCCTAAATCTAACGCCCGAATATTTTCTTTTGTTTTATTTTATTTTTTTCAATCAGGACACGCAAAGTTTTATTTATTATTATTATTTTTAATGACCGTGGATATTCGGATTAGTTTATATGCACCTTGACTAATTTCACAGGCTCTGAGATTTACACCTGAGTATTCACTTCAGTAGTATTGGGAGGATTCGAACTGGTGAACATTAAGGAACAAATTCAAAACTTGACTACTCGTCCACCCCTCGGGATAAATTGGAACACACGAAGTAAAAGGTGAAATAGAGAAAACATGTCCTAGTTTTGAGCATATTGTTAGGATAAAACCCAGTTTAGCAATTTCATTTCAAAGAATAAAATTTATGAAAAAATTGACCTCACTCAACCTTCGATTGTCGACTTATTGCAACCTGTCTAATAAGGTATCATTTCAATGTGACTTCTATGTCTAAAAGAAAAGGCACTATTCTCGATAGTTTTCGAATGTTGCTACATGATTATGTCTACTTTCATATCTCACAATATAACTTTAATTTGTCGACAAATGGAGTGTTTTATATTTCAACAAATAGAGTTATTTTATATAGAAATACAAAGTTTATATACGTAATTAAACGAAGAAAATGTTAATTCCACAACAAAATCAAATATAAAACATTAGAGTTACAAAAAATAGTATATGAAGAGCATGTTGAGCACAATTTTAAAGTTGTATTTTATTTTATGCGCATATTGATAATTAATACAGCTCTAGTACAGAATTTCTTAAATCTCATTGAATTATCATACTAATTGCACAACCACATCTATATATACAACAAAAAATTTCTAATGGTAACAAAAAAAATAAAAAATTGAATAAATAAAAATATGATTAGAGTTATAGAACAATAAAAAATATTGTCTTTAATTTAATGGAAGAGCCGAATTGGATTTAACAAATTCTATATTGGGCTTCGTGTCAGCCCAATTTCAGTCCGTCTCACAGAGAAAATGGACTAGCCCTAGCTCAGTCCAGCATTACAAGTAAACTAATAACAGATAATTGGGTTGTGGCGTGTTTCTATTCTCTTAGAAAATGAAAAATCAAGCCATATTTATTTCTTTTATTTTCAAGTATATCTAATATCTATATTTAAAAATGTTATATATTAAACATTTCAAAACTATTTCTCTCTAAAATCCCTAAATTTAGGGCATTTTACCATATCCTCGTTCTCAATTCGAAAATTCAGGAATTGAATTGACGCCATTTCATCAATTCTTCTGAAATTGCACTGATTTATCCTAAAGATTTCATTTCAATTGAAATTTGATTATTCACTTCATTTACTTCGGTTTCTGCATTTCATACTGCATAAACAAAAGAGATTTAATCGTCCCTAACAATCACTCGGAGCTTCAATTGGATGGCCAAATCAAAGCGAGGATCGCAAAAATTTAAACAAAAAGTGAAATATTTGTTTATCAGCTCAATTTGTGATTATGTTTTGTAAAGAAAAATTGAAGCTGGGAGTCATTTTTTAGTGCTTTACACACGTAGTTTGTCACTTTTTACTCTTTTCAAATGACCAACGTAACATAGTCCCCGAAATTCAATTAGAATATATGGTTACACAATAAGTCAAGTTAAATTTTAATTGTCATCCGTACACACCTTAGAAAATGTCTGCTCGACAATTTTATTGAGTCAAAAAGAATGAAAGTTTGGAATTTTGTTTAAAGACTTCATAATTTAATTTTTAAATCACTGGAAAAAGACAAATAGAGAAAAGAAAAAAGAAAAAAAGTGATGAAAATTCTCATTTAAAGGTGGTCCAAATTTCTATTGGTGTCCCATCCATTTTGCTAAATTAATTGTGAAAATTTATAGTCATACTGAAGTAAACGCTGAAATGGCGGTCCACTTCAACAGTAATCTGAAGAGCCCATTGAGCCAATATTGTGGTCAAGTTAACGTTAACATTTGGAAGATGCGTAAGTCAATATTCTTATACTTTAACATTGTATTAATAATCTTTTCACATCTCTCTCCCTTACAACGTACGACTTACGACTATATAATGTATATGATCCAGTTCTATCGAGTTTTGATGAAAATTATATTGAATTTTATGTGTTGGACTAAGCAATTTTGTATGCAGTGATAGATCGAAATAGATTTTTCGACCTAGGTTTGATCACAGGTCGCATATAGGTCGTCTGGTCGCACAACAAAGAACACCCTCAATGTGAAACATTCACTTTCATCGGAGCTTAGTAATTGTGATCAACTCGTAGTTTCAAACCCGACTTCTAGTGTCACATACCCCCACACAACCACCGTTCGATGAAGGGGGACGGGGAAAGCTACATGCTGAAAAGCTTCGACCCTTTTCGGGACACCTCATCTTGTCATTTTAAGACTCAAAGTTATTTAACTATACTAATTAGAACTAAAATTAGACCAAAATGATTGATTACGAACTGATTAAAGGCTTCAAGTGTTTAGTTAGTTATTAAAATATATTGGGAATTATTAAATATAGTGGCTGT